GGAAATACATTATCTACCGATATTATATACGGAATGTTAAAATAAATTATTAAAAATTAATAAAAAGTAAAACTTAAAATGTAGGTTTTGGTTGTTTTGTGCTTGGACATTTTCATTTGCCTCCATGGTTAAAAAACCCTAGGGTTTTTGGAAGGAGAGCGAGGAGTGTGACGAAGACACCATCTACCTCTACGACCTCTCCGCTGCCTCTTCCCTCGGTTCCCTCAACCAACACTCTAACTCTATCACCGTCCTCTCCTTTTACGCCCTTCTCAATCTCCCTTTTTCCTGCAACCTCATCTTCGCCGATCTTACCACGCTCTTCGTCCATCGGAATGCCGCTATCAATGACCTCGCTCTGCACCCGTTCGGTGAGTGCGCCCTCATCGTTGCTCGTGACAACTGCCTCACCATCTTTAACCTCATTCGCGGCAGTCGTAAGTACTGCTTGCGCCTCGACAAGGAATTGTGCTTCTTCAAATTCTTCAAATTGGAATGCTCCAAGCCCGTTTTCTACGCTGCTCCTATAAGGATATGTGCTTCTTCAAATTCTTTCTCTGTTTTCTCGAATTATCATCGAATATCATGGTGGTTATTTTTATTTTCTCTATTTCTTTTGGTGTTGCTGATTTGTCTTGTATGTTTAAAAACTATAGGGTTTAGGTAGCATTTGATTTGATGAAGAAAGTTTGGTATATTGTCACTTGTTAAGTTTTATGGGATTCTTGTGGTGCATTTTTAGGAGATCTCCATTGTGCTACCGATGTTGCGTTTAGGGAAGATTCAGAGGGCTTTTAAGGTATGTATTGTTTTATGCGTTTGTGATTGAGAATATTATTTAATGAATCACAAATGCAAGAATGTTTCTTGTTTTGTTCTATTCTAATTTTTAAATGCAAATGCTATGTATAGAGTGATGATGAGAATGTATAAGATGTGGATATGTAAATTAATCCAATCTATAATAATACCTAAAATGTGAAGAGAAACAAACTCTACTAACATGTTTGATGAAATTCGTAGGAGAAGCTTAAATGCACTCTAGGTTTTTGATGAAATGATTGTATGAATGTTCATGGAATTATGTAATGGGGAGAGATTGGTTTGTATCAATTTCTCCCAATTTCTGTTTTGAAGGCTGCTGCTTCACCATGGCAGCCACCCATTTCTACTTATTAAGCTGATTTAAACCATTTTATGTGCCTGACCCTTGTCACAAGTTGTGTTTTTTTACACTTTGATCTATTGTGGTTCTCATCCACATCAGGGTCAGTGTAACTTATAAGCAAGGAATCAAGTTATACATAATCAGTTCAAGATTGAATTAGAAGCAAAGGTTGTGTCGAGATGTAGAAGTGAATTGGAAACATGTTTCAATAGTGGAAGGGAGGATTTTAATTGTTTAGAGTGTGACTATAGCAGGGCGGGGCATTCTGTCATGTTGCCTTATGCACATTCTGTCATGTAGCCTTATACTTTTAGTTTAGAGTGTGACCATAGCAGGGAGAGGCACTTTTTAATTTTGAACTTTGATTCAACTTTTTTGCTCTTTTATGATAGAAGCGGAAGCGGATACATCACTCAAGATGAGCTTCAAAAATTCCTGTACTTCCTCTTATTTTCCCAATGTAAGAAATCCTAAAAATTTTCAAGCACCATTTCTTCATTTTTTACAAACCTAAAAATCTTCAATCTTCTTGATGACACCTCTTCATTTTTTCCTATACAGAATTTGCATAGGCAGAAGAACTGCTCCAGGCAAAAGACTCCAAAATCAATGATTCATTAGACGGGAAAGTTATGAAAAGTTCTCCGTGAAAAAGGAGGACGCGAGAAAGAAGGAAAAAGCTATTGACTTTTGCCTTACAACATCGAACTCTTTCATAAGGATGAATTTGATAGTTTACAGTGTATTCTATGCATCAGATAAGTTAAGTTATAGTGATTAAAAAATGCCTCGACCAACGACTCAATGAAGGATGGGAAAGCAGTGAAGAAGAGTGAAAAGAATAGGTAATGTAGGAGTTGGTGTGAGTATAAAAGAATGATTGCCAAGCTACCAAAAATAAGAGAACTGAGTTTAAAAGTATTTGATAAATCGAAAGAATTTACATAGCATTCAATTCACTTCAATTATTTGAGCTTTCTATTCCTTTGCCTTTTAATATTTGAGTGTTCTTTGCATTTCTTCTTTTTTTTCCTTATCTTTTCTATTGGTTCTATTTTTCGGCAAATTAATATTATTTGTTTAATTTTTGGCAGAGGTAATCTGGATTATAGGTGTGAAATAGTGTATGTGGAAAGGACATCAAGAAGAGATAAAAGAGCTAGTTCCGAAGATGAAAAGCCAATTGAATTTGTTGAAAGATATATAATCGAGAAAGGTTTCTATATGTTTATTTTCTTTAAAATTTTCTTTCTTTTTTTTATTTTTATATTTTGTATTGGTTGTTGAACTCCTTTGCTGTGATGTTCATTTGTCTTTTTCCTAATACTTTGTTATGTCAGCTTCTGTTTCAGCTTCCTATATATAGGAAACTTTTTTGTATGTCGTGAGTTAGTGAAATATATGTACTAATCCCTCCTTTTCTTGTTTGGACCACAGCTAGCTCTAATTCTTTTAGAAATGTACTAATCCCTCCTTTTGATAACTCTCAGTTAGTGATCATGATTAATTCCAATTACACTGATAGATAGGATTTTTACCATTCTGCAAGTTATTTTTCTGCAAATAATTTTGGTGAGTAATTTGTTTTGCTTTTATAGGTCCTTAAGCCCTCTCTCTGTAGTTCACCTGGTTGCTCTGTCAGGCTTTGGGCTTTATGAGTTGGGCTTTCCTGTGATACTGATATTTGCAGCAAGAACTATTTCTTATTTCTTTCCTTCATCTATGAATTATATAACTGGTATGATTTACACTTTCTTGATTATTTCTTCTGTAATTGTAGCTTGCAAAATGTGTGGAGATTGGGCTCCCAGAAATTGTAATCTTACTAGTATTTTCAAAGGTGATCTATAATTGTCATGATGTTAAATTACCTTGCATCATTTGGAACATATATTTAAAAATAACCCTAAGTACTTAACACACCAAAGATGAAATTATGTTACTTCTTGCTCTACTTTATTTTCTCTAATTTAAATGCTATATTCTAAAGTAGTGGTGTTCCTT